AAGGGACACTTGTGCAACATCAAGCACGTGGAGTGTCCTGGCTGTGCTGCCAGCAGTTAGCAATGCTGTCATTTCACAATGTGGAAGGCTGTGGCAATTCCAAATTGCTCTTCTCCACCTCTTTTTCCTTCTCAGGTTGTGCTAGTCCAACTGTGATTCCACGTGGCACATGGGATTGGAGAAATGTATGGGAAAGTGACACAGCCAAGAGGGAAGAGCCCTGTGGGCTGAGTCAGCACCTGGGGTGTTAAACGTGGCACTGATGYTTTGAGTAAATTAAGTCACAAGGAGGATTTGTAAGGTGAAAACCCACCTGGAAYTGCTGGAGTGAGTCCAGAGGAGGCCACGGRGATGCTCCAAGGGCTRGAGCCAGGCTGGGTGAGCTGGGAGTGCTCACCTGGAGAGGAGAAGGCTCCAGGGAGASCTCAGAGCCCCTKYYAGKGCCTAAAGRGGCTCCAGGAGAGCTGGAGAGRGACTGGGGACAAGGGATGGAGGGACAGGACACAGGGAATGKCTTCAAACTGCCAGAGAGTTGGTTTAGATGGGATATTGGGGAGGAATTGTTCTTTGRGAGGGTGGGGAGGCCCTGGCACAGGGTGCCCAGAGAAGCTGAGCTGAAAGGAAGAGAAGAGCAGGCACACCTCGATCCTTGCCCACTGTCACAGGAGCTTCTGGGGCAGAGCCTTGTMCCCTGGTTCCCTGCTCTGCAAAGGGCCAGCACATCCCTGATGTGTCTCCAGGTGCCTTGGAAGGCTGGGGAGAGCTCCTTGACTGGAGCTCTCACACACAGTGGGTGGTGAGGGTTTGCAGGTTCAGCAGGGCAGAGGGGAGAGGAGGAAACCAYAAACCCCAGGTGTGGGAGGCACATCAAGCCTGAGGCTCTGGGAGGGGCTGCTGCAGAAAGCTTTGAAGGAGCAGCACTTTGGGATGTGGATCCATGGGAGGGAGAGGGAGAAGGCGATGGTGGAGAGGGGAAAGAGTGACAAGAAAACTCTTGGTGTCCCTGGAGTGATGGCACCATGCTGCCCATGAGAGGAAGGATACTGGAACTTCTGCTTTCTTCCCCTTACTTTCTATTTCCAATATTTCTCTGTTAGTTTGTTTCTGAACCTCAAGCTGGCTTTTCATGTTTGCAGTCTTTTGGTTTTATATGGTTTGATATTAAAAAAAAAAACAAAAACAGCATATCAAACAACAACCAAACCCACAAAACCTTAAAATCCAGATAACATGATAAATACAGAACATACAAAATTCTCAGTAGTCTGTGACCCTCCCTCTCTCCTGGGAGCACTTTTAGGGTTGACATATGTGGAGATCCTGTGAGCAGGACTGGAACAGAATGCCCAAGGAAGCGGTGGAATTATTATCCTTAGAAATATTCCAAAGATAGGTGGATGTGGCACTTGAAGCTGTGGTTTAGTGGTGGATGCRRCAGTGCTGGGGAATGGTTGAACTTGATGATCTTAGAGACCTTTTCYGACTCCAATAATTAGAGGGTTGGTCAGAGAAATCACAGAATGTCATGAGTGGGAAGGGACAATAAAGATCATCTGATTCCACCCCCTGCCATGGGCAGGGACACCTTCCACTATCCCAGGTTGCTCCAAGCCCTGTCCAGCCTGGTCTAGTGAGCTACAAGTCTGTGCTGCCCACAGAGAAAAATACCCAAAGTGTCTTTGCTGCCCACAGGGATGTTTGTCAGGTGGGAGTGTTGGCCTCAGCTGTTGGAATAGAACCTCCACACTGCTCAGGTGTCATCATCCWACTGGGGTGGAGTTTTCTCCTCTTTAGGATTTTCTGCCTTCCCAYATGGATGTATTTCCTCTTGTCCTCTTGAGCTGCTGTCTGTCACGTGTGCACAATGCAGCCTCTGTCCTTGGTTTTGCCTTTCTTATCTCGCAGGGCTCTGCGCTGTTTCTCACAGGCTTTGGGAGGGGCTTTTTCCAGCTGGGCTGTGTCCYGGAGGCCTTGGATTGCAGCTGAACCTGGAGGATCAGGCAGATCAGGGCCAGCTCTGCTGGACCCTCCATTTTGCTGGTTTTRTGCCAGTTTAGTTGCTTGGCTCTGTGCTGGAGAAGGAACTGTTTGATGGAATCWCTCCTGCTTCCCTGGCAGTCTGAGATTCAACACCATCCTGGTGTGATCCAGTCTGTGAAGAGCT